AAAACACTGAAGCTAGACATTTTTTTCGTTATTTCTTTTTCACCTCAAGCAAGGCGAGAAGCCACTAGGACGCAAGGGGTTACAAAAAATTTGGAGCAAGATCAGATAGGAGTGATAGAAGAAAGGATGAGGAGAAGGGTAGTGGATAGATCAAGGCAACTGGAGATGTCGATTAACATTACATTTGAATAGCTGGAGATTATAGCTCTCAGGGAAACTGGAATAGGGAAGGGAGTTCCACAGGTGAGGGGTGCGAGACCTGAAGCTATTGGAGCAGAAGAGACGGCTACATTTAGGAGTTTCGACAGTGAAGGGGTGAGAGCGGGATGCCAGCCTCGTAGGGCGCTTGAACTCATGACGTCTGGGAACCAGCGAATGCAGCTCCTCGGAGCAATTGCCATGAAAGTATTTGTCAAAATTATGTTCCTTTTAAAGTAATATTTTTGTTGTGAATTCTGGGATGAAATCCGGTACCAAAAAATAACAAACGCCAAGAAGGAATATAGAAAAATAAATGTATTAATGTAATAATACAACTGGTAATGCATATTAGTATTTCCAGGAATGCGGGTTAGTAGCAAAATATATATATAATCTTTGGTATCGACGTATCACTGTATGACTTCTTCCTGAGTCTACGTGTTTGCTCACTGTGACTCTTGCTCCTTATGTTCGTGCTCGTTCGTCGCTCTCGGGTATTCACTAGCAGTAGTATATGTATACCCTGAGTGAGTCCATTTGTGTAAAAAGAGGAGAACCCCTCAACAATTTTTACCCCAAGCAAGGTAACAAAGCCACTAAGATGCAAGGTGTTACTGAATATGAGAGAATATGAAAAAAATAATACTGTTGAGGAAAAAAAATAAGAATTCCGAAGACAGAAGATAATGATTGACATTGCAATTTGGGAAGATCAAAGTTGACAGAGAAGCAAGAAGCTGGGAAAGAATTCCACAAGCGAGAAGTGTTTTTGTCATTAAATGACATTAGAAACGCTTACTTTTCTTCACTTTCTTTTTCTTAATATTTTCATTCTAAGCAAGGTAAAAAAGCCACTAAGACGCAAGAGGCAACTAAGTATACATAAGAAAATATATAATATGAGAAAAAATATAAAAAAAGAAAAACATTATTAAAGAGCGAGAACAATAAAACAACAAGAATTAAGAAGACAGAAGATAACGATTGACATTACATTTACATTTTTGATGACCAAAGATGACTGGGAAAGAAGAGGCCGGAAAAGAGTCCCATAAGCGAGAAGAGCGGTCTATTGGCTGAACTATAAACGGCCAATACTTACCCTACTATTTAGATTTGAATAAAATAATTTAAAAAAAAAAGGCCTGATTTCAGCCATAACGCCATAAGTTTAGTCACGTCACACGCTCCGTAACCCCTGAAGGTCGTAGAGGCACCTACGCACATACTGCAACCATAGCAGTAGTGGTGTGTCATGGGCAATTCACTCGTTAATCTAGTTTTGAATTTAGAGTTTTCCTTCTCTTAGGCTGGTTGCCTCTACATAGCAAGAGGATTCCAGTTCGTGCTCTATTTAACCCATGGATGAGGGGAAGGAGAAAAATTAAAATCTTTTTCAAGGATAGTTATGCGAAAGAGAACGCAACTTACGCAAAATAATACAAATGCATAAACAATCTCTTATGTTGACCCCCGCTGCATCTTTCCGAGGCAGGTACAATTGAGCCTTGTAAGAGCCTAATGTTGACAACAGATACACTGGACCGAGGCTAGTGCAACTGAGCTTTGTAAGAGCCTGATGTTGACCCTAGATGCACTGGTTTGAGGCTTTTACAATTGAGCCTTGTACGAGACTGATGTTGACCCCAGATGCACTGGTTCGAGGCTGGTGCAATGGAAAATTGTAAGAGCCTAATGTTGATCCCAGATGCACCGGTCAGAGACTAGTTTAGTGGAGTCTTGTAAGAGTCTGATGTTGAAACTAACTGCACCTGTCCGATGCTTGTACAATTGTTGTGGGGTTATTTCACAGTGGAGGGTTGTATTTGTACTAAATCGGGCCTAAAATAGGTTCGACGTACAAAACATTAGGGTAATAATAGGTAATGACGCAGAGTAATCTTGTTGTGGTCGCTGACTACTTTCGTATTCGACTAACTGTCGACTACTGTAGTCCGACATCGACTGGTATTTAGTCACCCCCCCACACAAGGGTATCATGTGGCACAAGGCTGGTTTAACATGGGATCTCCGAGCCCGTGGGCTCGTCCAAAAATATACCCTTTTACCCGTATAAACGGCTTCAGGGTCGGTTTACCTCCCCGAAAGAGACTCCGCCCTTCAGCGTAGCCTCGTTCGGGTTCCTCCCCGCCCGAAGGCAGAGAGTTCAACCGTTCAGCCCGTCGTCCGACATCAACTGACCCTTGTTTCTCTTACTACTCCTACTTATATTAGGTGGGGCAGTCTATTAACTATAGAATAGGGGTGTTTCACCATAGCAACAATGGAGTCAAAACTGCCCGATGTTGACCCCTGATGCAACTCTCAGGGATTTGGTGCAATGGTGTCTGGTAAGAGCCTGATGTCAACCACAAGATGCAGTAGTTCGTAGCTAGTTAAATGGAGTTTAGTAAGGGCCTGAAGCTGATCCCGGTTAAACCAGTACGTGGCTAATGCAATAGAGCCTTGTTAATGACTGATGTTGACTCTAGATGCACCGATAGAAGGTAGTGCCATGGAGTCTTGTAAGAGGGTGATGTTGACCGCCGATGCACTTGTCTGAGGTTAGTGCATTGGAGTATTGTAAGTACCTGATGGTGAACCCGTATGCACATATCAGAGACTAGTTCAATGGAGTTTTGTAAGTGTCTGGTGCTGACCAGATATGCACGTGTCTCAGACGAGTGTAATGGAATCTTGTAAGGGCCTGATGTTGACTCCAGATGCACCTGTCAGAGACTAGTGAAACGGAGCTTTTTAAGGGCCCAATGTTGACCCCTGAGACACCTGTCAGAGACTAGTGCAACGAGGCTTTGTAAGGGCCCAATGTTAACCCCTGACACACCTGTCAGAGACTAGTGCAACGGAGCTTTATAAGGGGCCCAATGTTGACCCCTGACGCACCTGTCAGAGACTAGTGCAAGGTAGCTTTGTAAGGGCCTGATGTTGACCCCGATACACCTGTCAAAGACTAGTGCATCAGAGCTTTGTAATGGCCTGATCTTGATCGCAGATTCAATTATCCAGATCTAGTCTAATGGAGTATTGTAAGAACCTGGTGTTGATGTCAGATTCGCTTGACTGAGACGTGCAATGTAGTCTTATACATGCCTGATATTGTCTCCAGATGCACCTGCAGAGGTTAGGACAATGGAGCCCTGTAACAGACAGATGTTGACCCCAGATGCGTATGAGTCTAGTGCAATGGGGTGTTGTAAGAGCCTGATGTTGACCGAAGATGAACCTGTCAAAGATTAGTGCAGTTTTTTTCTGAGCTTGATATTGACCACAGGAGCATTAAACCGAGGCTAGTGTAATGGAATCTTGTAAGAGCCCAATCTAGCTGCACCTATCAGAGACCAGTGAAGTTGAGTTTTGTAAGAAGCTGATGTTGAAACCAGATTTTATTTTGTCTACGTCAGCGGAAGTATCCGCGTTATCGAAATAATTGTTTACGTCATCAACGAAATTGCAACATAGAAGACAATTCGCTCAGAGTTTCATATTTGCTTCTTCCGCCCGTATGTTTTTTTTTTATCCTTTTCCCACTCCCTTAGCGGGAGCGCCTCTTGATTTTGTCCAATGGGCATAATACAGCAGCCTCTCTGTTTTGTGGGTTGGATGGGCCCTACTAACATCAGTTATGTTTAATTTGATTCGTGTTTATATTTTAGTTTGTTATTGGGTTCATCGCCCTCCCCTCTCATTTTTTCATCATAGATTTTTATATATATTTTAGCATCAGTAAATTTTTATGTCACGGGGCGCGTTTTGTAGGTCTCCCTAGTAAAAATGAGGTATTGTGGTGTATGGAGGATTGATTGGTGAGGGACGAGTTCTTGTGGTGAATGTGGAAATTGTAATGAATGAATGGCTCGTGAATAGGATTAGCTAGGTATAAGATAGTTAGTGATGACCAGCCTCAACCCCTCCTCATTTTGGCCTTGTGCCACAATTATGTATTTTGCAAAATAAATAAACTTCTTATGAATGGGATTCAACTATTTTTAGTTATCAACTATGGCTGCTGTTAATAAAATCACCAAGCATTTTCGACACCCGATGTATGCTTGTTTTGATTGCTATTAAAAAATCCAGGCGTCACAAATCATTGGCAATGTTTATTTATATTAAGTTCATGGACTTTGAGGAAAATGCGTTGGGGACGTTCATCTTGGAAGGATTCCAATGCTCTTTCCTGTCTCTAACAAAACATGATTCACATATTGATACAAAAATCTGCTAACTGCATTGAGAAACGGAGGAAAGGGGTATGGCTCATCTTGTAAACACGATTTCGTTTTTATGTTTTCTTTAAATCTGTTCCCACTGATATACAAATAGGATTATTTCGATGAATTGTCATCCAAACTCCGGGGAGGCTTCCCTGTTCTTTAATGACAACAGCAGAATATACATTTAAAAATAAGTAAAGTATACCATTTTTTATTTATTTTTTTGCTTTTGCTGTCTCCGGCTATCTTTGGTATTCGGCCATATTTAGAAACACCCAGAAACGTCTAATCTCAGATTCGAACAATTCTTACATTGTAGTGAATACGATCTTCAATGTCTGACTCATATGTGGCCTTGTGCCAGACTTAGTGAAAGGAAAGCTTCACCGCAAGCAATGGTGTGTGAGCTAGACGAATTTGGTCCTCGCTGTCGTTTTTTTTTTCTTTTCTTTTTTTTATCGATATCATTGTTTCTTTCTTTCTTTCTTTCTTTCTTTCTTTCTTTCTTTCTTTCTCTGTCATTCCGTCTTTTTTACTCTCTTTCATTAATTCATTCCTTCATTTATGCGTTCTTTCTTTCTTTCTTTTTCATTCTGTAATTCTTTCTTTTTTTCTTTCTTTCTTTCTTTTTCATTCTGTCATTCTTTCTTTTTTCTTTCTTTCTTTCTTTTTTTTTTTTTTCTTAATTTTTTCTTTTCTTTCTTTCTTTCTTTTTCATTCTGTAATTCTTTCTTTTTTCTTTCTTTCTTTCTTTCTTTTTCATTCTGTAATTCTTTCTTTTTTCTTTCTTTCTTTCTTTCTTTTTCATTCTGTCATTCTTTCTTTCTTTCTTTCTTTTTCATTCTGTCATTCTTTCTTTTTTTCTTTTTTTCTTTCTTTCTTTCTTTTTCATTCTGTCATTCTTTCTTTCTTTCTTTTTTTTCTTTTTTTTCTTTCTTTTCTTTCTTTCTTTCTTTCTTTTCATTCTGTAATTCTTTCTTTTTTCTTTCTTTCTTTCTTTTTTTCATTCTGTCATTCTTTCTTTTTTTTTCTTTTTCTTTCTTTCTTTTTTTTTTTTTTCTTTTTCTTTTTTTTCATTCTGTCATTCTTTCTTTTCTTTTTTTCTTTCTTTTTTTTTCATTCTGTAATTCTTTTCTTTTTTTCTTTCTTTTTTCTTTTTCATTCTGTCATTCTTTTCTTTCTTTCTTTTTTTTCTTTTTCTTTCTGTTTCTTTCTTTTTTCTTTTCTTTAATTTGTTTCTTTTTTTTTTTCTTTTTTTTCTTTTCTTTTTTTTTTTCATTCTGTAATTCTTTTTCTTTTTCTTTCTTTCTTTCTTTCTTTTCATTCTGTCATTCTTTCTTTTTCTTTCTTTCTTTCTTTCTTTTTCATTCTGTCATTCTTTCTTTCTTTCTTTCTTTTTCATTCTGTCATTCTTTCTTTCTTTCTTTCTTTTTCATTCTGTCATTCTTTCTTTTTTTCTTTCTGACGCAGCCATTCTGTCCTTCTTTTACCTTATCTCTTTCATTAATTGATTAGTTTTTCTTTTCTTTTTTTTTAATTCTGCCATGCCTGCTGTTTTCTTCTAGCGCAGTGATTTGGCCTTTCATTCTCCTCATCTCTTTCATCCATTGATTTTTACATACATTCATGCATTCTTTCTTTCTTTCTTTCTTTCTTTCTCATTCTGCCATTTTTTCTTTTTCCGTCTCACTCAGTCATTCTGCCTTTCTTTTTCCCTATCTCTTTCATTCATTCATTCATTCTTCCTACCGTTATTCATTCCTTTCTTTTTTCTTCTTCTTTCTTTCTTATTCTGTCATTCTTTCATATTCATTCTTAATTTCTCTCTTTTCATTTCTTGCATTCTTCTTTTCAAATGGTATCTATATTTCAATCTTTTCTTCATATATTTTGTACATCAATATGTATCTATCTATAAATAGATAGATAGATGTGAACAGACTGAGATAGATAGATAGATAGATAGATAGATAGATAGATAGATAGATAGATAGATAGATAGATAGATAGATAGATCGATCGACAGACGTCTGTCTGCCGATCTATCTATCTAGACAGATAGATAGAAATATAGATCGATCGACAGACAGACAGATAGATAGATAGATAGATAGATAGTCAGGCAGGCAGGCAGGCTTGGGTGATACGCGATGGAGTATCAGTTGATAAATTAGATCCGAGTACAATAATAAATCATCAAATTCTTTTTTCACAGAGTTCTCCTTATTTATGTCCTTATGCCATAATCACGTTAGTAAGTATAAATGAGCAACCTTAAGTACAATTAGGTATGCGGGTGAAACATGAACTGAAAAGGGCATCTAGTTTTGGTCGGGGATCATCATCCCAATTCAGGCCCTTAGTAACAGCAGCCGCCACTTTCATTATAAATCATCACTGGGCATAATTTGCATAATTCGCGCTCAAAATCAATGGACGCCATCAATTGCACTGGCAAACGGTCAGACAAAAATCAAAATGGCTTAACGAAAGATTGGATGTATAAAAACGAAAGAAAAGTAACAATTCGATTTTTTCTTTATTCTGTTTGGAACGGCATAATCTTGTAGGATCTTTGGGGATAGACAATGCAATGCTGACAATGATTTAGAATCTTTTGTAGTTACTGCATTAAGCGGACCATTTTGTTTCAGTTAAAACCATTGTATTTACTTTGAACTAAGCAGCCGGATGAATGAGTCCTTTGTATGGAGCGTCTTTTTTCTTGATCAATGTTTATTATTATTATACGACGTTTGGCAAGGAATTTCTTAGCGAATCGAAAGTTGCGGAGTGGTAATTGTCTATAAGACTAGCTTCCGTTATAATACATTATAGAACCCTAGCCTGGCACAAGATCACAAAGGCAATGACTATCGTACGCAAGGCAATATTCTTTTGAATAGTGGATAGTGATTTAATGTAACCGGTTACCTTTTCAGCAGTCAATGTCAAACCTCTAGAGCAATGATTCCCGATTTTAGGCGCAGGCCCCACCGGTGGGGCATGGTAATATTTTGGTGGGGCATGTGTAAGATGCGCACCCTTCGGCTAACTATACCAACAGAATAAGGGGGAAGTTGAGAATGAGTTATTAACAGTGAATTGTTTTCTAGTCAATCTGAGTGAGAGTGTTAATGTTAATGCGTGTTAATACATACGATGCATATACAGTATGCGTACATAAAAATATTTGGTGTGTATGCACGTACATATGTAACTGGCATACATATAAGAATTAAATATTACAGGGGGGCACCAGAATTTTAGAAATACCGAAGTTGGGCATGGCTCCAAATCAGCAGGTAACCATTGCTCTAGACATTTTCAAATAGGAAAAGAAAATAGTTTTTGAATATATAAGCAGATGATTAACTGAACTTTTGTCCAACGTGTCCCTTCCACTGTTTAAAATGTTTTTCTGGTTCAATGTTTCGATGATTCCTGTTTTTTTTTCATGTTGTCAATAGTCTTTGTTATATATTTCTTAATCAATATACCCCAAGCAAGGCAATAAAGTCACTAAGGTACTTACTGAGTGTGAAAGAATACGAAAAAGAAAAAAAAACATTATTGAAGAGCGAGAAAAATAAAATAAGACGAATCAAGAAGACAGAGGATAACGATTGACATAGTGAAAGATTGTGGGGGAAATTATTCACTCCAGAAAGTACCTACCCACCCCCCATCCCACTGCCATTTCAAGAGTCAGATCAGACAGAAAATGGAGTATGTTTTTTTTTTCCTTTTTAATCATTTCACCTCATGTAAGGTAGTAAAGCCACTAAGACACAAAGGGTTACTGAGTGGGAAAGAATAAGAAAAAGAAAAAAAAACATTACTATAGAGAGAGAGAAAAAAAGAAAAGAAATCTAAAAGACAGTAGATAACGAGTAACACTGCATTTAAATTTTCGAAGATCAAAATTGGCTGGAAAGTAAAAAGCTGGAAGAGATTTCCACGGGCGAGAAGTACGAGAAAAGAAACTGTTAGCAAAGCACTTATGGTTACATCTAGGCAATTCAACTGTAAAATGATGAGACCTAACCGCCAATCTTGTACTGCGCTTAAATTCATAAAGTCGAGGTACCATAGAGCAAAGTTCATCAGAACGATTATCATGAAAGTAATTATAGACAAGGCACAGTGAAGCTACGTTTCATCGGTAGTTGCCACCCCCCACCTTTGTTTTCCTATTTTGGACTCATAGCTCCCGGGTGAATAATAATAAATGAAATAAAATAAATAATAATGTGAATAGTAAAGTTATCCGTTTCCATACAGGAAACTTCAGTATTTATTGATTTTTACTATCAGTTGACATTTATAAAATCTTTTTCTCATATTCAGTGAATGTCATAGGTCTTTCCAATTCTGATGGAAGTTTCTGTTTTCAGCTTGAACATATTATTTCCTCTCCCGGTTGCTACTTATTTTTTGCTGTTGTTTCTTTCAAAAGTATTCATCATTGATTGGTTGGTTGGTTGATTCATTTTCTAAAGTATCTGTCTATATCTCAAGGACAAATGGCCCAGTGGATAAAGGTGTTGCGCTAGATCCAGTCACTAGACCCAAAGAGTTACGAGTTCAATGCCAGGCTACAGCAATGGTGAGTTAAAGGGAAATAACAGAAACATCCAGAAGAGGCGTGGCACCAGACCACTCTATCCTGGTGGATGAAATGAATGGTTCGAATCGAAATTCCAATCATCAGATGAAGGCCGAAATGTTGTGAATATGACAATAAAGGTGAAGTTAATAGTGTAATTATTTGTAGGTTATTTAACGCCTTAAAATTTCTTCTTTTTTTGGTGGTGGTGGTGGGGGGGCATAACAAATATTTAGTTATAAAAGTCTTACTATTTAACCCATAGCTGGAGGAGAAAAATTGAATTTATACCTTTCCCAAAAGCATTTGCGCATAAGTCGATAGAAGAAACCCAGCAGGAATTGGAAATCGGTTCTACGATTGACAATCCCGTTCCGATATCAATTACACCACCCGCGTATTCAACTTCCGAGATTACAGCACCTGGTATTCCCAAGCGGTCAGCCATCTAGGTATTGACCAGGAATGATGTTGCTTAACTTCGGTGACTGTATAGGAATCGGTGTTTCAACGTGATATGACCGTAAGCCGGAAGTGTTCAGGGGATGTAGTTCTTATTATTTGGTAAAACTCCTTGTTTGCGATTGTGTTGAGCTATAATCTCTGGTGTCAGATGAACGACTATCTCCTTTAAGATTTATAGGATTGATTCGTTTGAAGCAATATTAACCATTGATAGATTCGATATATTATTTTAATGAAGGGACGCCTACATGACATGTCTATAGAAGTTGATATCTGATGAGGTTATTTAAGAACCTGAGTTAAATATTTTTGTTGTGTAGCATGTGACGGTGCTGAACAAGAGTCTCTCTAGCGCAACCCATCCTTTCTTTCGTATCTTCTATATTAAATATGCTATAACTGATTCAGACACTGAATTATTTAAAGTGTTTTAAATATATCAATTCAATATTGTGAATTTTTATGATAGTTCCATCTTAAGCGCCGTCATTTCTCTGATTCAAGTTGCAGATCCTCCGAAATTAGTTAGTTCAAAACTAATGTACAGTTAGGCGTCACTTATCAACGAATAGTTATTTATATATTCACTAATTACTTCTTTCTTTCTTTCTTTCTTTCTTTCTTTCTTTCTTTCTTTCTTTTTTTTTTTTTTTTTTTTTTTCTTTCTCTCTCTCTCTCTCTCTCTCTATATATATATATATATATATATATATATATAACCCTACCAGTCAAAAATATATATATATATATATATATATATATATATAACCCTACCAGTCAGAAAGAATATATATATATATATATATATATATATATATATATATTCGACTCTCCCGTCGAATTCGACGTATGAGGGTCAAGCAGATCAGTTTCCAGGAAACCGACAGCCCGATACCGTCACATGAGATTTGATTATAGTGGTGAAGTCTTCGTGCAGGACCATCCACACTATTTGAAGGGACGAATACAGAGACCTGGTGCACCGAATGCCACAAGGTTCCCAAACGACCCTCCACAGGTTTTGAATTCAGAGTTGTCCTTCTCCTAGACCATTTGCCATCCAAGGCTATAGAACCCAGTCTGTCCTGCTATTTACCCATAGCTGGAGGGAGAAGAAGAGGATTCAAACCTTTCCCAAGGGCATTAGCACGTAAGTGAATGTAATGGATTCGACTGGTGTAGGAGAACGAACAGTAGGATTACAGCTTTCACAACATTAATGTAAAATAGTCCTCAATACACAAAGTAGACCCGTAAATATTTATTTATCTTAGATAATGTTACATTATAACCTGCACATATCCACTACAAAATTGTACATTTTTGTTTCGACGTCAAAGGGGAAAACCTTTTTTAGACGTCTCATCAGGTGGATAATTTTTTGACGTCGAAACAAAAATGTACAATTTTGTAGTGGATATGTGCATGTTCTAATGTAACACTGCATAATATATATATATATATATATATATATATATATATATATTTTGTATTTGGGCAGCAATCCCTATTGTATGCAAGTTTCGTTAAAAATGATGAAAAGGTGCTATTGTTAAGTTTTTTTTAATGTAATTTTTAATATGCTCGTATAATTTTTTTCCTTTTCAGGACAAATTATATGAAAATTGTCCGAATGTAAAACATTCGGACAATTTCCTGACAATTTTTTTTGACTAAAAGTATAGCCAAAGCGCTTGGATATATAAAATATATCCAAGCGCTTTGGCTATACTTTTAGTTATTATCAATGATGAATTTTATTTTACTTTTAACTGGATATATGCATTGTTTTATGTATGTATGTATGTAGAGTTATAAGAATGTTTTATTTTCCAGTCACGCTCATCACATTGTGGCCTTGTTCATAGTTGATATTATTGGGTGTTGGCTTTTTATTTTTTATTAATAATGCTTCTATTATTTTTAGCTTTTTTGTACATGTGGATGACGCCATTATATTCGTATTATTAACAAGTATGTTACAGAGAGTGGTAGGTTTCCATGTGTATTTAAATGAGATCTAATTGAGCTCTGGTCAGAGAGATGTAACATGTTGTTAAACATGTAGTAAATCCAATATAATTATTTACAAATTTGGATTGGTCAGGGTTACAGTTCCTTCAGGGACATGTAAATTCATAACTAATATTGGTTCTCTGTAATTTGAATCTTGCAGGTTAATTATTATTTTTGACAATGAGGTTTCAGTTTTAAATTTTTTATAATAAATAATTTAATTTTCTTGTTTTTTTCAACTGGAGTTGTATATTTCTTTCTGATGTTTTTAAGTGAAGATTCCTTTTGCTTATAGTTAATATGCATTTGGTTTTTTATAGAAAATGTTTTTATTTTGAAATATTGTATTTCATGTGGCACAAAGGCCAAACAGGGTGGGAAATGTTGGCCCGTCACAGACTAACCTACACCTACTTAATCTGATTCACAATTCATTCATTCACTTCAATTTACTCATACTCTGTAAGAACTCATTCATCGCCATTCAATCCAACACATATCATAATACCACATCTCACAGGGATCCTACTAAAACAGCCATGACATGAGAATATATACAATTGTTTGTTTGGTTTTTGGTTTTCTTTTAAATAAAAATATATAAAATTACGACATGAAATAAGATAGGAATGGATGTACTAATAATGAAAATAAAATACAAAACATTCAAAATAAAATGAAAATATGTTATTAGGACTCATCCACCCCACAGAAAAATAAGAGAGGCCACTGTATTCTGCTGCTAAGTAGAATCAAGCAGCTCACTCGCTAGGAGTGAGGAAGAGACAAAATAAATTACGGAGTGGAGAATTATCAAAGGCTGATCCAGTGAAGATGTTTCTAAGGAAAGATTCCTCTTGCTTACGATGCATTTGGGTTTTGCAGAAAATATGAATATTATTTTCTGTGTGTTGAGTATTACGTAAAAAATGACTGACAAGGTGTTGTGATAAAGCTTTTATATAATTTTTCATGTGTTCTTTAATTTTTTTTCTTTTTAGGACATAAGTTATATAAAAATATTTTTTTTCTTTCTAAGGTAACCAATAGCAACACTGAAGATCCAGAGAAAAATAAAATTCTCTGGTGAAATAAATTATTACAAATGGAGCCTTAAAGTGGTCTGTTTTTTTTAAATTAATTTATATATATATATATATATATATATATATATATATATATATATATATATATATATATATATATATATTTGAAAAATTAGGAGATCAGCCGATCACGATACCTTGGTTTGAATTTTTGGGTATCTTCAGGCGATCCTAGTTAAATAATTTTCCTAACACTTTATTATTTAAAGACAAACGAATAAACGCAAAGGGGAGGAGAAAATAAAGAGTATTAAATAAAATTAAATAAGTGGGAGTGTATGAAATGTACATGTTTTCATCCTGTTCTAATTTTGTTTCCTAGTCTAATTCAATTCTGACCAATAATCTTTTCTATAATTACTTACACACACTTACACACACACACACACACACACACACACACACACACACACACACACACACACACACACATATATATATATATATATAATTTTAAAGAAATAATGGATATATTTTTCACCCAAAATTCTTATAACTTCAAGCATTATTAAAGTGGATACTCGCATTTGAAATAGACGTCCCGATTGTAATTTTATTTTAAACAGTGTATATTACATCTGTCAGTCTACATATGCAACGAAATCCTACTCTAACTCTCCCTCTCCCTCCATCTCTCTCTCTCTCTCTCTCTATATATATATATATATATATATATATATATATATATATATTGCAAAATATGGTTTTAAGAAATGCTCTATTTATTGGCTAAACTGTTCCGTATCGGGGATAGAGCGTATGTAAATATAATGATGGACATTGAATCAGCACCCAAAGGTGTATTACGTCTATCAGCCTGCGCATTCGAAAAATCATAACAAAGAGAATGTGCTCCCTGGCCAGGATCGACCTCTTTATAGACTCTACCTCCATAGGATCGACCACTTTATAGATCTACCTCTTTATAGAAAGGGAAATTCAATAAAGGGGAAAATAGAGCCTTGTTCTGAAGCTCTCTGTAGCCGCGCGGTAAAGGACACCGGATCAAAAGGTGGTTTCTTGCAGGCACAGACCAACAGAAGTTATTCTTTCCTCCGCCATCATTCAGTCATATTTTCTTGCTTTCTTATTGTCATTTATTTTATTATTACTTGGTCATATTATAATTTTTAACAAGCTTTCTCTCTCACTGTTAATTTTGTTTACTTTCCTACACTGTCATTCATTTGTTTGTTTATTTCCTTCCTTCCTTCCTTCCTTCCTTCCTTCCTTCCTTCCTTCCTTCGTTCGTTCGTTCGTTCGTTCGTTCGTTCCTTCCTTCCTTCCTTCCTTCTTCGTTCCTTCCTTCCTTCCTTCATTCGTTCGTTCGTTCGTTCGTTCCTTTCTTTTCTTTATTTTCCTACCCTGCCATTCATTCATTTCTCTCTTGTCAGCTTTCCTTCTATCATGCTGTCGCTCTTTCTATGAACAGCGGTGAAAAATTATCGGAGGAACATCGTATTGCATTCAGAAATGAGTTTTGTAGCTTGACAAAGGAAGCGAAGGGTGGAGCTGTTGGTAAATATATTTTTGTTAGCACGATCAGGTAAGGGAATCATTTTACGATAGTATATTTTGTCTTGAAAAAATTCCAGTTCTCAAAATATAGATATTTGAAGATATTGTCGGTCACTGTTAAGAAAGCAACAAGTTTCCGATTCTCAAGGGAACAATTACAACATTTGTAGACGCTAATTCGAACGAATATATATATATATATATATATATATATATATATATATATATATATATATATATATATATATACTGAGAGTTACAAATTGTGAGTGCTCTTAAAATCTGATATTTGTTCCGAATTTTATTTCGTTGTTATGGTTAGGATAGACATTTATGCAATCATTTTATTACTTGATTTGCAATAGACACTCAGTTTTAGGATATATATATATATATATATATATATATATATATAAAGAACG